ATGAAAACGAAAATGATTAAAGCTACAACCAACAATTAATGAACTAAACAATTAAAGCTGACTCTAATTAAACTAAACTCAATTAATGGCCTAATGATTAAATGCTAATTAAAACGAAAATGAACATTAATCTAATCTACTGAACTCTAATAAATTCTAAAGAGAAACTATTAAAATCAACTCAATTAAAATCTATATAAAATCTATAACTTCTAGAAATAAAATCTATTAATCCTATTAAAATCTATATTAAAACTATATTTAAAAAATACTATATTAAAATCTACTAAAATTCTATATTATTTATTAAAATCTATATACTATTCTATTTAAAAACAAAAACCTAATATTCTAATAAAACTCTATTAAAAAAACTATTATTCTATTAATTCCATTTAAATTCTATAAAACTAATAAAAACCTATATCTATTAAAATTCTAGAAAAGAAAATCTATAGAAAACTATTAAATCTATAATATTCTAAAAACAAAATAAAGCTCTATTTAAATTCTAGAAAAAGCTATAAAGGCCATTAAATCAAATAAAGGAGAGCGCGAGACCAGACCAAAATAAACGGTAAACCCAGACACCAAAATCCTCAAAAACAACTGCGTAAGCTGAAAACATCCGGGAAGCGCGTGACTTCTCAAAAATAACCTCCGATTATCCGAACCGGTCTGAAACGCCCGAAATGTGAAAACAGGGTTGTAATCCCGATAAAATCAATATGACTGGACAAATGCACTGTATGCGGTATGCGAATGCGAATGTGAACATGCGTCGAAACATAAACCAGATATGGGAACCGGTTGGTCAAATTTTAGGGTGCAACACAAACTTTCAAGTCCTTTGGTTGATCTACCTCCACCTTTCTTAGTGACAGCTATTAGTCAGCAATTTCTTCATTTCATTGTCCCCTTAGACGGGGGCATTTTCTCGCGGGACACCTTCTGTGATGGAAGAAATGTGTTGGTGCTTCTCTTTATGCCCATCCTCTTCTTTAGTATTTGCTTCCTTACAGCTAGTCACGGCATAAATTATTTTAATCAGGGACTTCTTAGTTCTCAGGGGATCATCATGGTCCTTCTTTCCATATTTAGTGTACTCGGACAAATAACCTCTCTTGACCAATCCCTTAATTGCGTCTTTTAGCTAGATGCAGACGTTGGTGTTGTGAGGGCAAGGTTCCTTAGTGCTTTGTTTTAATGATATATAAAATAGTAATATCTTGTACTTGTGTACTTTGGACGGTATCATCGCGTCTTAGATTGCATTCATCCTTTAATATGCATATAATAATCCACATATGTGTGTCTATGCATATAGGAAGATCCTATATATGAAAATTATGCATTGGATACCTTACGTCAACCCTACAGGACTTTATGATGACTAAAAAAACTTACAAAAATGTTTTTGTAGCATTTTTATGTCTTTGCATCAACTCAGATGTGTGGAGGTCGACGCATACTGTTGGATAAATCATTTTTTGCTCTTGGGCGTCCTTGCGTTGACTCTCAGATATATGAAGATCGACGCATACTAAAAGAAAAGCAATTCTCTGCTCTCGAGTGCCTTTGCGTCGACGCATGGCATGGTTCAGGTCGAAGCATGACTTGAATTTTTGCACAGATTTACATTCTGGAGTGTTCAGGTCGACTCATAAAGTGCTGAGGTCGGCCTCTCGCTCACTTGGGTGCATTTTTCTATTTATTTGTGTTTCAAAAATATTTTAATTCAGTTATGTGGTCTGCGTCTCATATATATCCATATGCATCATCTTTTGTAAGGAGCTAACAAGAAAAGTGAAAATATACATTGAATTTGCTCATCATCTTAGTTCTCACACTTGCATTCTTCAACAACGACACATAATCATTTTTATTGATTTTTGCATTGTCGAGGTGATAATGTCCAAACTTAAGATTTGTATATCGCTATTTATGTTGAGAATTCAGCGGTTTTTTTTAATAAAACCTTTGGGGTTTTGTCCTCCAAGATCTTGAGGATTTGGGGGGTTTTTGCTCAAATCTTTGTGTCATAGATTCAGCCGAGTGAAATGCTTGAAGAATGGAGGGTTTGTTCAAGTAAGTAGTTTTAACCAGAGGATTGTGTCGAAAGATTTGGGGTCGAACGTATTGCGATCAGAATTAGCCGAGTGAAAGACTTGAAGATTCAAGTGAGTAGCGGTAACCAAAGGTTTGATCGAAGAGTTTGATGTTCTTGATTTGACTGGAATCAATGGGAGATAAGTAGATAGAATCAACATCAACAATTGGGTTTGAGTGTGTGATGGCTATAACTTCTCTTGTACAAAACTTTGCAACTTTATATTATACATATCTTAATTCTAGTTTTAGAATTGGGGGAAGACGTACCTGAAGCGAGGACGAAAAGGGGAACTGCCTAAAAAAGTCTGTTGTCGTTCTCTCTTTCTCTATCTCTTTACTTTGTGTTGTTAACGTTTGTGTGATATCAATTATTCAGTAATTTTCTGTTGTAGTGTAGTGCTGAAAAACTGTATTGAAAACTCATTGCAATCACTTTGATTGTAATTGCTGAAAATTTTGCACAATCATTTCATAGGAAATTGAACTTGGGGTGTTGTGCACACCAAGTGTTCGACATATTGATCGCACATAAACTATTCGTGAATTTTCCAATTTAATTGTACCTTATTATTTCATTGGAAATTGGTTGATTCAAAGTGGTATTAATTTGGATAATTGATTGTGAAAATTGTTGATTCGTTTATCTCATCGATTTCATTCTGTATTGGCTACGCATATTCGATCATACCAATAACGATTCGTTTAGACGATTAAAATCCATGGCCGCTTTTGCACGTTTTTGAAAAAAATTTAAGCGCCGATATTTGTTAAAAATTAGTGATTTATTCAACCCCCTTCTAGATCATTGCCATCATCTAACAAGTGTTGTGTTCGTGACTTTTATGGAAACAAAAGTACTTTCACTTCTCATTCGAAGGGGACTCTCTAACTAGGAAGGGATTCCTTATCCCAGGTTTCCTGAACTCTGTGTTGGTACATTTGTTTTCCAGATTTTCACCCATGAAGTGTTGAGGGGAGTACTTGACAAATCATGTGCAAGACATGTGGTCAAAATTTTCTTTTAGCCTCTTGTTTTTCCTTTATTTATAATTGGCTTGTACTTATGTCTATGGTGACTAAATGTCCTAAACGGAAATGAGTTTCTCCTTATAATTAATAAAGGATTAAGCCTTACTCAACAGATCTTTCAAGTTGTTGGCTTCCTTGTGTCGTAGCTTCTCCATAAATGTGTTGTCCATCACTTTAGGCTTTCAACAGAGCCTCCCACCTCTACAACTAATTTTGTAAAGCGATCAATATATGCCTGCAAACTCTCTTACTTACCCTAAGAGATCCCGCTTAGCCTAACTATTATTGTAGGCTGCCTCTTTCTGCACTGAATTGAGAGGTGAACTTCTCCCCTAAATCGGATCATGATTCTATGCTTCCTCTAGGAAGAGATTTAAACCAAATTATAGACGTTCCGGTTAGAGTAAGTGCAAAGAGTTTTCACTATAAAGGGTTATCGACATGATAATAATCTAGATGGTTATTTACATGCTCTACATGCTCGTTTGGATCCTTATTCAATCAGAACCCTAAGGCTTGCGAATTATGGTGTTAAACCATATTGTAAACAATGTTAAACAATTACCTAGTACCTTGTGCGCCGAGGTAAGCTTGCAACAATGGGAAACATGTGAGCCTTTCTAGTCTAGGAACTGTTGACGGTGCTAGAAGCTTGAGTGATAGTTTTACTGGCTGAAATTACAAAGTGAATTCTAAGGACGGGAGAAGTTGAAAGACTTCTTGTGATGTCCTAGACTGGACATGATCATGAGGTGACAGTTCGGATGGAAAATCTACGAGGACTTGATCGCCACCGCTTTGAGAGATAGGTGGTGGATCTTTGGTAGCTTGAACGACAACAATTGCGGCTACTTTATGTTGTGTAACAGAGCGAGTAGCTCTGAACTTGCCATCACTGATGGATTTGGAAGGAGATCTAAGAAACGATACTAATCTTCAATCGGAGAGGATTGAGAACAAATTCATATAGTTCAGACTTAAGATATTTGAATTTCTAGGTAGAGGAGACTTCAATTCAGCGAATCGAAAGATGAATGTTTAAATGTGAAAAACATAAGAATCAAATGTCAATTCTCACATATGGCACTATTTTCGTATTGGAAAAATAATTGATCGATGAACGATGGATGTGGATCCCAATAATGGACTTGAGTTTTCGTAAAAATGGAGAATGGGTTAGCGTGCAAGGTTAGCTCTCCAACGTCCAAATCAGTATGAGAGTGAGAAGAACCAAATGAGATTTGAATTCGAATTACCTGAGGAATGATGCGTTATGCCTTTTATATAGTATGGCGGTTATGACCACTTACTATGTTAACAACGCGAAACACGATTAATCGTCCCATTAATCTTGAGTTGAGTTTGTCTACTCCTTATTTAGAATAAAATATTTGTTTCACATGTGGTTTAATGAGTCATTTCGCCTTTGTATCGTGGCTATTGGACCTTCTAGACAGTCCAAACTAGTATTGTTGAAATAGAAATGGCATAGTCAAATAGAATAGTATAACATGTGAAGTTTGAAAGTACAAGTACAATGACTTAGTTGCAAAAAGTAGGAAAAAGAAAAAGAAAAAAAAAACCTATAGTGCATAGATGGCAGGTAATGGATCAAGGGTTAATTAGTTTTTTCCAAAGCAAATCCCTTTCTTATATTATAGTTTTTTTTTAATATTCCTACATAAGATAATAAACAAAGAACTCAAATAACAAAGGTAAAAACATACTATATTTTTTGTTACATAGGACAAAAAAGTACAAATTCAGAATACTCTTTGATAACAAAATTGAATGCACATCATAATGCATTTCTATTTGCACATATTATTCATAATTAATTATAATCAAAATAATGCATATCATTCTCTTGACACAACATTTGTGGAAGCACCAGCAGGTTCATCTTCTAATGATGAAATTTGTAATGGAGAATCAGAATCAATAGGACCTTGATGTGGTGGGTCTGATATTATAATATTAATAGGAGGTGGTGGATTAAGGAACTTGGTTGTAGTGGGAATGATGGAACATCTACAAAGTGGACAAGTTGAATTTGTTTGTAGCCAATGATGTATGCAATCAATGTGGAACACATGCTTGCAATATGGAATCTGTTGCAACTCTTCTTTCAACTCAAATTCTCCCAAACATACACAACATCTGTTTCAACACTTATATATTATTAGCTTCATTTCTAAGCTTCACACACACACACATATAATATTGGTATTTTTTTTATAATAAAAAGAAGGCCAGCATATAATTTTTTTGTGATTTTATTCTGTTTAAGACATAGACCCCTTTGACAAAATTAGTATATGTTATTTTCTCCAATGTTGAAAGAAAAGAAAAATCATTAATTCTTATATTCTTGTTATCTCTTTTACCACCTTTCTTTTCATGTTGCACTTTTTTATAAAAGAAAATAGTGGACACCATTCAATATTCTAATTAGTGATTCATCAAATGAAGATTCTCTAAACAGTTTTCTTAAGCTTTCTAAAAACAACATTAGTTGAATATGAAATTTTAAGACAAAACCAAAAGGTAATGAAATTGAAATAAAAAAAATATTTATGGATACCAAATTTTTCATACATATGCAATATGGTTTATCACATGCAAAATTATGATTAATTCAGTTAAATAATTAATTAATTTAAATCATATTAAAAACTGAGGATTAAATTAACTATAACTTAGTTTGTGGATTAAATAAATTATTTATTAACAATATATTTACTCATCAAATCATATTAAAACAAGAAGAACAAGATTATAAATTAACATGGAAAAAAAAAAACTTACATTGAATCCCTTGCTTGTAAATCCTCATCAAACAAAATTCTAGGAAGTTTGTCCAAGAATTGCACAGCAAAATCCAAACGGCGAGGCTATGAGATTATGTAAATAATAATAATAATAAGATTATTTAATTAACATGTTAATAAATGTGAATAATGATAATACAATGAAGTAGTATAGAAAATAAACTTACTGAGGAATTAGAGGAGTAATAACGATAGGTGGTTGGAGGATGAATCCTGGGAAGCAAGTGTGGAGAGAAAGAAGAAGCTCTTCTCTTGAGATAAAATAAGTAAAAAAGAAGAAAAAGAATAATAGAAAAAAGTATAGGAATTGAAAATATGAAAGCTTGATAAAGCTTAAGTTGAAGTTCTTCTGGATACATATTTGGAGGAGGAGGAGAAGAATTTGTAGTTTGTGAAACACTACTCATCATAACATCATTTTTCCTTATATTCATATGATTAATTCTTTTGCCACTGCATGATTTATATAAGTACAGTTTATATAAGTATAATATATTTGTATTTAATAATAAAAAAAACTTTAGTTGAACAAACATATTATATACATATGCTTACCAAATAGAGTTGAGTTTCTTTGATTTTTTGGGACAAATATTTTCTTGAACTTCTTAAAAGAGACAGAAAGATCGTATTTATAATATAGTTTTTGTGTATTGGTTATTTTATTAAAGATTGATTAAGAGAGGTGTAGAAATTAATTAGAGTTGTTAATTTATAAAGTGAGAGTGATGTATTCTATATTTTTTAAATGATGGGACAAGGTCATGACCCCTCCACTAGTTTCACGTCAAGTATCGTAATATTGTTGGCTAAAATCTGGGTTGCTTTCTCTCTGCTTCGTTGCTAGTGCTGACTCTTTGTGAAAAATTGATTAATTAATTAGTTAAGTGCTTAATTTGGAGTATTACTGTTACATTTGTAACAGCTCGACACAATCAAATTGTTTGAATGAGATCATTATTGTCGAATTGAAGTTTGGTGAACTTGAAGAAATATTAGGGAATAATCACTCCCTAAAAGAATGTGGCACACTCTTAAGTACATCATATAATAACTTTTAAGTACATCATATAATAAAATATTAATTCTGTTTTAATTTTTATATTTTTTATTTATTAGAGTTTGACCTAACACAACTCTATAAAATCGGTTAGTAAGGCGATGAGTGTCACTCTATATAAACTATTTTAATGTTTTATCTCCAACTAATGTGGAACTTTAAGATTTTTCTAACACACCCTCTCACGCCCATCACTCTTTTTAAACTTGGTGTGTGGATTTAAACGGTGGGTTGTTCAAGGTCCGATCGATATGCTCTGATATAATATTTGAGTTTGACCTAACACAACCCTACAACACCGGTTGGTAAGGTAAAGAGTGACACTCTATATAAACTATTTCAATATTCTATCTCCAACCAACGTAGGACTTTAGGATCTTCCTAACATTACTATTTATTTTTTTATAGTAATTAATAACTTTTTCCTTTCTATTCAAACCTTACTATTTTTTTATGTGTAATTATTAAGGTGACATATATTTTAGGTAGGGGTGAGAATAAGTTGGTCGAGTTAAGCTTTGTCAAGCCTAAGTCTAACTTTTTAAAAAGATCAAAACCTCTGGTCCACGTTGTGTTATATACTTATTTTTAGCCTTCAATATGGTTTTTCGAATGCCTAATTAGTTTGTTTGTGTTAGCTTAGCATTTCAACATGAATTTGTTGTATAAATGAGCGATGAGTTCGACTTATCTATCAAGTGTTTTAGGACTTAACGTGTTCTTGAATCTAAAGATTAGATGATTTGGAGGCATTTTTGACACGAAACCATAAGATTCGACAGAGGCAGACAGAGGACTTGAAGACAGTTTCGACAATGGTAACAGTTTAAGGCAGTTAAAGAACCAAAGATAAGTGGAAACGCAACAGCAGACAGATGCCCGAGTAGCATGATACGTGTCGAATTCAGGAGAAGTAACTCTTGTCGACAATTACAAATATACGTAATGTATAAGTAGATTTCGTTTTCTGAAATAGAGTTCACATTTTCATTCAACTCTCTTTGGAATTCACACATCCGAGTTACGGAGATACAGAATTTGTGAGAAATGTATAAACTTGTGTCCCACTTTTAATTTTAGCATTTTACTCGATTGCTTTTACTATCTCTCTTCATTTACTTTATCCCTTCAAGTAGTTCTACTTATTACTCACTACTACAAATAATACATTTCATGGCAAAGCTTTCATCTCAACTATTGAAAAACCGAGGTCAAAAGACCTAAAACATGCCATTTATTTATTTGTAAAAAACTTAATCTTTTACCTCGGTTTTCATAAAAACTGATATAAAAAGTTGGCTGGGTTTGAGCTTTGATTCCCAGCACTTGCAATTTCATGTTTTCTTCAAAACTAAAAAGACAACTTTATTTTTAATAGTTTTCGCGTCAGATGTGTTCCGTCGGTTTTTTTAATAAAACCCAGATAAAAACTTTTTAACAATTTTTTATTCTTTAGATTTATTCTTAAGTCTCGTTCACTTTTTGCGTCCTAGCTATCGAACGATACTGAAATACTATTCTTCTCCAGCAAACGAAACTGAAACACCATTATTCTTTAAGGAGAAAGAAAGCTAAAACCTCAAACCAACAATTTTCTTAGAGTCTCTCATCATATTTCTGGTATGTACAAATTCTTCATTATCGTTGTTGTTGTTGTTGTTGTTGTTGTTTCTGTCGTCGTTATTGTTGTTGTTGTTGTTGTTGTTGTTGTTGTTGTTGTTGTTGTTGTGGCCATTGTTGATGTTGTTGTTGCTGTTATTATGGCTTTTGAGACTTATGTTAGACGAAAGCGACTTATCTAGAGGGGTTGAATAGATCTCAAGTTAAAAAATTGCTTTACGAAACTATTTTAAAAAACAATGGCTAGCGGAAGTGACCCGGATCAAATCGTGTAAACCGAACCGCTGTCAAAAAGGTCAGATATGCGTATGTGAAAACCAGTCGATGATAATGATAAACAAATCAATCAATATGCTTTAATCACAACCACTTGAATTCAACTTAGCAAGCAAAGTTATTTCCAATGATAACAAACACAAAAACTTAATTGAGACAAATTTCAAACACCTTATGTGTAATCAATTTATTTTCGAATTATGTATGGTTTTGTTGATTTGCAAATCCAATCATAATCAAATAGATTATGATCAACTCAACAAAAAAAATTTCAAGGGTTATCAAAATGTTTAACCAAATGTATTGATCGCATAATTGAAGAATTAAACAATTTGCAAATGAAAAATAAGAGAGAGAGAGAGAGAGAGAGAGAGAGAGAGAGAGAGAGAGAGAGAGAGAGAGAGAGAGAGAGAGTACACAAGGATTTTCTTAGGTAGTTCCCCAATCTGTCTCGTTATGGGTATGTCTTCCCTCAATTCAAATTCAAATTGAGATAGTTAAAATCAATCTTACTTTGCAAATGTAGTTTACAAGAGAAATGTAGCAATGCAACCCTATAAACCATATGTTTGATGTTAGTTCTAACACTTTCTCTTCACTTGATCTAAGCTTGATCAAGTCACCCAACAATAACGATTTGATTCATCGTCTCACACTACTCCGTTGCAAGAACGCTCGTTCTTTAAAGCCTTCACTCGATTGAATCCAAATTGTGATTTGTTTTAACCCAAAATTTACCAATTTGATTCATCAACTCACACTAATCCTTTGTAAGAGTCCTTCGTTCTTCAAAGCCTTCCCTCGATCAAATCCTAATTGTGTAATCTTGTCCAAAACCTTCACATCCCTAATTGATCTTGAAGTAAAACTCCACCTTTGTTTTCTTATTTGAAACCCTCAAAGATCCCAACCCAATTTACAATTCACCAACCAAAATTAGAAGTTATCAACACTAAATTTAGATGGCACTCAAACAATGGATGATTATGTGTACTTTGTTTGTATGTATGCATATAATGAATGTTGAAATTGATGAGCACTCTTTGGAACCGGTTTCGTTTATGATTTTCTTAAAAATCACTTTTAAAAAAAAATAATGATGCATGTGTGAAGTATATATGTGTGACCAAGTAAGAGGCAAAAGGAATGCAAGATATTTAGAAAAAAATATGCAAATTTTCAAGATTTTTAGTGCATGTGTCGACCTATTTGGTCCATGAGCTGACCTATAAAGGTCATATGCCCTATCCAATCAGCACATCAAACAGAGCCTATAGGCTTTAAAAATGGAGTACATAAGCAGATTTGAAAATCGTATGTGTCGATCTGTAGAGAAAATTTCATTGTATGTATCGACTTGTAGAGAAAATTTCATTCTATGTGTCAACAAATAGATGATTTCCACATATAAAAATCATTTTTTGATGCATGAAACCTTTTCTTTGATGCATGAGCCATTTCTAAACCTTTTATAACATGTTTTTATGCTTTCTAATGCTAAGATGCACATTTAGACTTAGAGGATACCGTCCAATACACATAAACGCTAAAGTATCCTAGTTTTGATATCATACAAAATACATCTAACAGAAAGTTGTACTCACATACTCCCCATTTTTTATGATGGCAAAACTTGAGACGGTGCATTTCGTGTCTTCATGAAGGCTCCCCCTGAATGTATGCATCAGAGCTATCTCCCCCTTATACAACATCAAAAAGAGACAAAGCAAGCTATTAGCATTATCAGATTGATAAACATATTATATATACCATACAGAGGTGTTTGCAAAGATAAGAATGTACACTCACATATACGCTACGTACATGAAGATACATAATAGAGATCAACACAATATAAATATAATGGAAATATAAAAACATTACATAATTGTCATCCAACGCAATACATATAGTAACATTGTCAAGACATAACTAAAGGCAGAATAAAATAACAAAAATTAATGCATGATGACTCAAGGTAAGAATTCCATTAAAGAAATGCTCCCAAGACATATGACTCAAAGACACAACAACATAACACTTCATCGTCCTCCACGACCTCTAGGTATTGGCCTCACTCCATAATGACAACCATGTCCATCATTTACGAACTGATAATCCAAGAAATCACACATCTATCGGTAAAATTATTCATAGTGGTGATGATTCTCATTCTGAATAGAGATCATATGATTAATCCTAGCAAATGTAGCTGCATGATTTGAATCCATCTCATTCTGCATAGACACAAGACTCTACGTTACATAAGAAGAAAAGGCTTCAAAATTTTCATCTTGTGCAGTCATGTGCTCTTGCATTAGACGAAATATCTCCACTTGAGCAGCCTCAAAGGCATCTCTCCTCCTACAATCTTCCTCATAACGCTCATATTTCCTAAGCTACATGTTTTGTAGCATAGTTATGATGGAAGATGAATCACTAAATACAACACCAAAGCTATTACCATGAGCATCCTCA